AATGGTTGGTTGATGACAAAATACACAATGAGCCTGTGGATGCATTTTTCCAGTGTATGGAAGAGCTGCTCTGATACCTGTCAGTGAATAAACGTTAGTCACTGTGTCAGTCTGTCTTACACAAGTCCACGCAGCATTGACTGTCAGAAATGAGTCACCTCCTTTCCCTCTGATTTATGCATTTATTACTTCCATAGAACGAAATGAATGACAAACATAAATGCAATTAGCTTCTAAATTAATTAGATTGTTTTCTCTGGTTTAATGACATAATGATGCCCCAGGCATTTGAATTAGTGATGGGAGGATCGATTCCGTGGGATCAATTTAGCAAAACTAATGCGAGTATTCTATTTTATTATTATTATTATTATTGTATTGTCACATCACCAAGGACCAGAAGAGCACAGTGACTCCACGTCATTAAGTGAACTGGACACTTGTCACGTCCCTTAATGGTAGCAATTAAACTATTCAAGTATTTGTTGTGACTAATATGCTAATATGTTAAATATATATTCAAGTATTAAATGACCAATATTTGCCACATGATTTATTGACAAAAATCACACAAGTACTGAATCAAAAATCGTCATTAAAATGCTTATACTTTGAGGCAAAAAATGGAGGCTGTCCCTTTTTACACCTAGGATACCTGTGTTAATGAAGCATTTGACAATGTATACGCTTCAGTATTCTTGAACAGTAGAGCCTTATTTAAATGGTAATTTCAATAATTCATCTAAAAAACCTATCAAAGCAGTGGGGGAAACTGTCCACTGTCACAGTGGGGTGCAGTTTGAATGAGGAGCTCAGCAGTTCTGTCATCCCATCACAAATGATTTAGTCTCTTTATTTAGTCTTATTTTTTTCATTCAAAAAGATTTTATTTCAATTTCTACAAAATGAAACAAACATCCAGAGAGTGACCTATCGGACCAACATGTCAATGTTGGTAACAACCTATGGTGTGATGCAGTTAATGTGTTAAAAAGACTGTGATTCAGTGGACCTGAGAAAACCACACTGTGATTTGAGGA